ATTCCTTCGATAAAGGATTTCAGGTGAAATAGTGGCGAGAACGCAACGTGAAACTATTCCAAACTGCGATCGGGTTTTAATTGTCGCAGTTTTTTTTTTCCACCCTATAGCCACGTGCTCAACGCTCCTTTTATATCTTTACTATATACATAAATGTCTATTTTTAAAAACATTTTTCTCCAAAATATGAAGTTTTAAAGATATGATTACGAATCAATTAATGTCACCATACAAAAATTGCAAAAACTTCAACCCTCCTGTTATCAACAATTTTTTTCAGATATGCGTCCACTGATATGGACAAAGTGTTGCTCAAGTATACTGAATACAGTGAACCACATGAAAGTCGCACTAATTCCGATATTATGGAGGTGAGCTTGCGTCATTGCAATCACTAACTCTTTTTATGGACCTACAAATAAACTCTGAAAGGCTATTTGGGTGTTATGTGCGCTAACTTGGTACGTAGATAAGTGTTTACGATTACCAGTTAACGGTTTATTGCACAAGATATCGGGGGAATGGCATGACCCTTGAGTGCAAATAGTTCCGGAAAATCTTGGAGCATTTGAGCATTAGGGGTTGAAAGCAAATCAAAATGGCGATTTGTCCTAAAGCTATTAATGCTTTTATCAAGGGTACATATGTAGCATATCAAAGTAGGGGACTCTTATTTTGGGGTATTTGGAAACCCGTGATGTCTTAAGAACTAAATTTCCTGCACACAAGTTTCAATAACGTGACTCTATTTTGTGATAGTCTATAAAAGTTGACAGTGTAGGCTAAGTTCTAGCGAAGAAAGGGAACCACAGGAAGATGTTTTCGCTATTTCTCGAGATTTCGGGTGACTTATTGGATATTTGCTCTAAGAGTAAGCTTTCTCACAAATCGAATATGTTGACGAGTATTTCACCTAGGTAACATCATTCTAGGTTTGATTACTTCAAAAATCTGCTCTTGAAAATAAATTTCGGTATGGTAAGTTCATATGTATTTTGTTGTCATTATTCTTGAGTGCACTACTATGGGTGATTTAAAGCATACTGGGTAAGGTGAAGCAACATTTATTCAAGCAGAGTCCTGAGAGAACTGAGATTTGCTTAATCACCTTTCTTAAGGTTACCTTTCTTATTTCCTTTTCTTTTCAGGCTCTCCAACGGAAGGAAT